ATTGAGTGTCTGGTGAGACTCTCTCACCTCCTCTCATGGCCACGGTGGTCCGAACCCCATGTCATCAAGCCGGTTCTGACTTGGACCTGGGAGGATGGAGGGACCTGCCCCATGGCCTCTGAAGGCTGTAGTCTCTGTGGAATCAGACTGCCTCATGTTTGTCCCTTAGCAGTGGTACAGGGTTCGAACCATCTACCTTATAGTTCAACCTCAGCATCACCAGGACTCCTGGGCCTGGCAGTGCCCGTTTCACTGACAACCTGGAATGTCTTCGACCTGCCTGGGGGGAACAGAACAGCCAGCTCTCCCCTCAGTAAGCGTCGTGCTGTGCTCTGCAGAGGGGACCCTCACCCCTGGCCCCTGTGGGAGACAGGAGTCCCTGCTGGGCCCAATGGATGCCCCTCTTGCTGGGAAAATGCTGTCTGGACAGTGAGGCCCTGGGAGCCTGATGAGGCTCAGGGAGTCGCATCTGCAGAGAAATGACAGATGAACCAGATTTCTGACCTAAGAGAAGAGACCGCTCGAGGACCAGTTCTGAGCGAGGCTCTGTCCAGAGGGCTCTTTCAGGATGGTGGCCTTGTCCTGGTTGCTGTCTCAAGATGTTTGTCACCAGCACCTTCGACATAGGGTCAGGGGGCAGAGGTGTCCCCAAGGGTCCCATGGCACCCCTCGAGGCTCCAACCTGAGGCTGTCCTGTCACCGACCACCCGACCACGGTTGTGACAAGAAACTCGAGGGGTTTCTTGGTGAAGAGCAGGTGAGGGACGAAGTCGGCGAAAATGAGAGTCTGCACACCAGGATGATGTAGAGAGCTCTAGTTTATTATGCTAAAAGCCTGCTTTTTATACATTTAAACTTGTTAAACTTGACTTATAGCCAACATTTTGTGATTACAAAGCTCACATAAGATTTTAACTAGAAAAAACAAAAAGAAAATATTTTCTATTACTAAATAATAGCATCAGCTATTAAACATTCTTTAAACAAGAAACACAATGACCTTATGTTGGTCATCTGCTAGACAATGGTTAATGGTTTACATTTCACTTCCTTTCCTCTCCTACTTTGCGTTACTATATCTTAGCCACCTTTGTTTTTGCCTTTGTACTCATGTTTGTACTATACCTAACGAATCTTAACATCTATTTTCCTACACTCTGGACCATTCCTATGTTTATCAATAGCTTTTGCAACTTGTTTCATAAGATTTTAATTTGTTTTTGTTTGGCAATGTGCACTAAGGCGTACGACTTCCTTTAACTTGTTTTTACCAAGTTAATTTGTAATATTCAATTCTTTTTCCTTGGAATACAACCCATCTATTGAGGTCATCATCATAAACTTCCGTTTCTCATTAACTGTGACTTTCTGCTATTGAAACTAGTCTAAACTTTCTCCTAATATACAATTACATTACTGAATATGAGTTGCAGGTATCACAAAAGAGGAATTAGATACATACTCAAAGATCATATTCAAAATTATACTTTTAAGAACAATCTCAATTTCTTTTATATTTTCAGCTTGTTTGTTATCATTTCCAGGAACATCAAGTGGTTCCTGATTAAGGACTTTAGTTAAATCTTTATCCCAGTTCTGGTGAAGTTCCCCTGATTTTTCCCCAGAAACTCCCATTCTTATCAGAAACAGCACATAGGCTTAAAAATAGAAAAGCAATTCCTAGAAGCAACTTAATTTCCAGAGGTTTCCCGGGATTACGAAGACCCATCTGTAACAAATATCCAGGCATCAGCCCACTCACAAGCACAGGGCTTGCAAGATTCCCTCTTATGCTATCCTTGAGGTCAGAGACCCCCGTACAGGCGCGGACGTCCCATTTTGTCACACGGGCGTCGTGGCCAGAGAGGACAGCGAGGCGGGTGTGGCACTGTCCCACCCTCTTTCCCCCTTGGCCATGAAACCCTGGGGGTGTTGTCAAGGTCCTCTTGGGTTGCTGTGTGGGGTCCCACCTCCTGCCCCGTCCCCTGTCCTGGGGCTGCCATGCTGAGGCCTTGCCTCCTGCCCCCACTCCTGCTCTCTTCTGGGGTCCCCCCTCTGTCCTCTCCTGGCCTGTGCCTGACCATGTAAGGTCCCCCCTGCCCCTCCTCTTCCTGCCCTAGGCCTGACTGTGAGGGGTCCACACCCCCTGCCCCGTTCTTATAGTCTCTTCTTTGTCCCCTACTGGCCTCCTGCCAGCTTGGCTCCACCCTCCAGCCCTGAGGTCCAGCTGGGCCTGTCTGGCTGCCCTGTCCTGCCGTCCTGCCATGGGTCAGAGTGCAACGGCCAGTTTGTGGTGGTGCCGGCAGGCTTGGGTGTTCGGGAGCAGGTTCTGCTTTGTGGCAGTGGCTGGTCCAGCTTGGCTCCAGGCTCCGGGCCAAGAACCCAGCGTCATGGACAGAGGGAGGGGACATCGGTCCAAGTGCAGCCATCAGACACCCTGCCCCCGGGAGGCCAACCTCGGGCCAGGACAGGGATGCTCGTCCTGGGTCCGGTGCTCCTGGGAAAGCCAGGAGTTGAAGGGGTAGCTGGGGTGCTCGGTGGTGGCACTGGAGCTGGCTGCAGGCTGGCCCTTCCAGCTGCCCTCTGCTCGTCCGGGAATGCCCACTCAGGCCGTGTTAGCCAGCAGCCGAGGCTCTGAACCTGACGGGGACCACTGGCCCCTCAAGGGTCCACCTTCTGCCCCCTCATCGTCACCTGCTGGTGGGAGGGGCTCTGCCCCTTCGTCGCCCTTGCTCGTCCAGTCGTCTGTGCAGGCGGCTTTCAGCCCTCGCTCAGAGGGCTCTGGGTGCCAGTGTCGTCGAAGGACAGGAAGTAGATCAGGCCTTTCTTCCAGGGCGCCTCTGGGGGACCCGACCCCACAGCCTGTCAGCAGCTGAGAGCATCAGAGGTTTGCGTCAGCTCTGCCTTTTAGGGTTTTTGTTTGGTTTTCCCCCAGTGCTTTTTTCTGTTTGAATTCCCTAATCTGTTGTCCCCTGTGTACGTCAAGGACTGTGATCAGGCCCTGGTCCCTTCCTCTCGGGTGCCGATCTGTATAACATTCCCGCATGGGTGGTGGGTGGCGGGAGGGCTGTGTCCCTGTGCGCACGGCTGTCCCTGGGCTTTGCGTTGTCAGCAGCTGTGCATTTGGCGGCCTGGGTTGGTGAGCTGTCCACGCCCGTTCCTGCAATCACACTGCGCCTTCCTCCCGGAATGTTCATCTACTGACACAGCCACTCTGCTTTCACTGGCTCATTTCAGTAGTGGGCCGCCAGACTTTTCTCCCTAGTCTTATTCTGGAAGCTCCACTGAATCTTGACCCCGTGGATGCCCCTCTGGTGTCTGAAGCTTCCAGCGTCACAGCCGCCAGCCAGCCACCACCGGAGGAGACACTGACAGCTGTCTGACTTTCTGTTAGCTTGTCAGCTCTCTCAGCCCACTTCAGAGGACGGTGGCAACGGCTCCCATTTCACAGATGGGGAGATCGAGGCACAGAGTTTGAGGGGCTTGTACAAGACCACCCAGCTTATGGCAGGGAGAGCCAGGGTCGCTAGTGAAAGACTTGTCACGAATTCCCGTTTGCTTCTTGGGCGACCTTTTCGAGGTGACAGTTTTATTCAGATACATTTCATCATTTGACTATAGAATTTCTTGACTCGGGTTTAGAACTCTGATGAGGTATTTGTTGTTAGGTGCTTTCGAGTTGACTAGAATGCTGACCCTGGCCTGCGCCATTTCCCTCACCTCTGTCACGTTCAGGTCCAATATTACACTCACTGACCTTGAGGTCTTCCTCTCTGTCTCTGACCTCCCACCTTTCCCAGTGTGATGTGGACTGTCTGCTCCTGACAACACGCCCGACGTACGTGAGACGAAGCTTCGCCCTTCTTCCCTCTAAGGGCCACCCTGGACACACTTCCTCCAAGACAGATTTGGGTTTTAGCTCATAGTATTACTCGTAGTATATTCAGTACTAATAACCAATACCATAATTCAACTATTCAGACTGATTAAAATACCGTGCCCCCCACCCCCGTATTGAAATAGGTTTGGTGGTTTGACAAGGATGGGAATCAGGAGTGAGGTTTTCCACCTTACTTGTCTGGACTTAACCTCCAACACCTTGAAAAACAGACGTGAGCACAAAGGTGCCAGAGGAAACCTGGACGCTGGGGTTTCTGGCAGCACTGGTGACAGTGTCCCCAGAGTGGAAACAATGCATGTGCCCGTGAACAGATAGACAAGTTCTGTGGAATAGTATACAGTCATGTAGAGAGATGCACACCACAGTGGGGAGGAAACTTGTACATTCACTGAGTTATAGGCATCAGACCCCAGAGGCCAGAAGTGGTCAATACTACTGACGTGAAATATGAGTCATTTACAGAGCGGCACCAGTAGTGGTGAGATTGACCATAATGACACGGACAGCCGAGAGACCCCCGGGTCTGTCTTGCAGGAGTTGTGTCCACAGCATGCCTCGGGGTGAGGATGGCATGGCCGGTCCTTGGAGGAGGGCGTCATGCTTGGATAAGCAGGGGGTCAGCGAAAGTGGGGAAGACTCTCAAGGTGGCTGCAGCCAAGGCTGTGAGGACTGGTCAGGGGTTACTGAAGGCACAGGGGACCCCACGACCCCTGACAGCATGGGGCTGGGGAGGGATTATTGATCAACACAGAGTTTCTGTTTGGGGTGGTGGGATCATATTAGGGGGGAAAGTCAGCCACTGGAAAATCCTTCACAAAGCTTCCCTGTGTTCTAGTTAGATTTTGAGCCTTAACTGATACTATCTTGACCGTTTACCTGTCAGTTTCTGTCCTTATTACGTGTGAAGGAGAAAGATGAGGCCGTGTGCTCCTGTGATGATTTGCAGCCCTGGACGCCCTCAGGGGTGGTTCTACTGTGTCCCACAGGGTCGCTGTGAGCTGGGGTCCCTTGGTGACAGCGGGTCTGGCGTTTGGGGTGCTCCATCTGGATCTCCACTGACGCCCTCTCTTCTCTCTGCAGAGGCTCCTGCCACCTAGCGGGGAAGATGGGGAACAGCCAGAGTGGCTCGGGCCGGGGTTTCCGCTCCCAGTTCCTCCCTCCGGAGCAGGCGGAGGTTGACCAGCTGTTTGAGTCACTGGCATCTGATCAGAGCAGCCCGCACACCACGCCCAGGTCCTTCTCCCTGCAGGCTCTGAAGGCAAGGATGGGGTTCACAGGTCCACACTCCCCTCACCTCTCCCTGAAAGGCGGCTTTATTGGGACACCAGAATGTTCTCTGCCCGGGGACAGAGTCTCCCTTTGAGACTCTGCAGGCTGTGTGGCTCTCTGGTGGCCTGGTGCTAACGAGCTGCGCTGCCAACCCAGAAGCCCATGGTTCAAATCCACCAGCTGCTCCACAGGAAGATAGGTGTTCTCCTGTGCACTTGACTGCCTCAGAAAACCCACTGGAGGGTCACTGAATCCTGACTCCAAGGTACCTAACGACAATGTGGCTCCTTTCATAGCTGCTCGGCTGGGCCAGAGGAGCCCCAGACACTGCCTAGTGGCCCCATGGTAGAAATGAGCAGTCTCTACAGGACCCCAGAAGGGAAACTTGGAGCAGATGCGCGATGGTTGGCTTGCTCTTTGCGTCATTTCTGACTTGAGGTTGGCACCAGAGGGATCCGTCCAGCTTGCCATCTCTGGAGCCACTGCCCATTGTGCTTCAGCTCTCAGAGATGAGGTGTAAATGGGGTGACGAGCCTGCCTCATGGGATCTGGGGAGGCCAGGAGTCATGATGTCTTCACATGCACCTTTGCCTCTCGGAATGGATTGGAGCTGCCCTGAGGGTTTCTGAAGCTGTGTGGTGGGCCCGCTGCCCCAAATTGTGCTTAGAGGGAAAGTTCACAAGCACGTTGGGCTTTCATTCAGTCGTCCAGCCATGTTCTGTTTGGTAACCCTAACCCTGATGCACCCACAGCGTCTCCCCCTGTTCTGCTTCCTGGAACTCTTCCTCCTCATCCGTCCTTCTGCCGCCCCCCCCTTCTCAGTCAGGGCTCCCACTTGGCTCAAGAGGTTGGCTGTCCTGAGGACTGAGGCCTCCAGCCCGGAGTTCCTCACCGGGGGGGCCTGTCTGGCCTTTGGCTGCCAACTGAGCCACGAACCTGAGGTTTGTCCCGAGTTCCAAGGATGACTAAGGGCCATGGTCCAGCGGCTTGTACCCCGGTAATCTTGGCTGCCTTTATGGTTTTGTTCCATATCCCCCTATGCGTGGGTGTCTGCATCGAGATGACTGAGCATGGCACGGGGTCAGGCACAATTCTGGTCCCTTGTTCATAGTCACTGTCGACTTGGTGACATCCATCATCATCATCGTCATCTAGGATGTTCTGCTGTGGTTAGGGCATCACTGAGGCTGTGAAACCAATGGATCAGGCTGTCTCATCTTAAATGTGTGGAGTGGCTGTTGGGTTTGAACCACTGACCTTTCTGTTGGCAGCCCAGCACTTAACCCACTACACCACTAGGCTTGGTGGTGGCCAGTGGTGTGTTTACTGTTCTTCACCAGCATCGTAGTCCAGAGGTGTCCATGTTTGGGTCGTAGGTGTTAAAACTGCTAATGTGCCCAGGCTGTGCCCAGTCCCAGGGCTGCTGAGTTCACGCTCCAGGCTGCCGGGGGAGGCAGGATGCGGGCCACTGTCTCCCTGGGATGGGGGAGGGCATGAGCTCTGCCCTTGGAGAACTTGTAGAGTGGGAGCTGAGGGTGCTGGGGTCCCCCCCACACATGCTCATTGCATAGAGGGGGATCAGGAGGGGAGGGAGTTTCTCCCCGAGCAGCTCCTGTGTCTGCGTGCGCATGTGTGTGTACACGCTCTCGGGAGTACACACCTGAGTCGCAGTCTCAGCTGGAGGGGACAGAGCCACATGGGCTGGTTAGAGACCCAGCTCAGAGTCAACAAACCACCACACAGGCTGCTTACAGACCCAGTGCAGAGTTGCCACAGGGGCTGGTTAGAGACCCAGCGCAGAGTCACCAAACTGTCACATGGGCTGCTTAGAGACCCAGCACAGAGTTGGCGGCAACGCTTACTGAGATAAACATGGCTTGAGTGGGTCAGAGAACTTGAGAAGGATCGTGGGGGGTTCTTTTCCAATAGAGTTTTTAAAACATCAACAGAATCCTCATAACTCATATGTGTGTGTGCACATGCACACGTGCCCCTCACTGGGACAGAGGGGACACTCGGTGACAGAAACTTCCTGGGGTAGTGCTGGTTTTGGTCTCCGTTTTCACACAGCCCTGATTTTGGTCTCTTCTCCCTCCCACTCCCCACAGAGCCATGTCGGGGATGCGCTTCCCCCCACCATGGTTACCAGGCTGTACAATGGCATGCGGGCGGCTGGTGTGACGGGCACGGCCAAGGGGCCCAGCGAGGCCGTCTCCCAGGACCAGTTCACAGTGGCCATGTCCCACCTGGTCAAGGGCAGCGCCCAGGAGAAGAGTCTCATCATCCTCAAGATGGTCTCGGCCGAGGACGGCCCCGTGAAGGCCAGAGAAGTCCAGCAGGTACGGAGGCCGCCTGTGCTTGGTGGGCCCACGGCGGTGTCCCTGGACCATGTGTCTGCTCTCGAAGTCTTTCATTGTGATTTGGGTAAAAGTTTAGAGTGGATTAGTTTCCTGTTCACCAGTTAATGTATGTCTGTCTGTATGTCTGTCTGTCTGTCTGTGTGTGTGTGTGTGTGTGTGTGTGAGAGAGAGAGAGACAGACAGACACGGAGACTCAGAGACATGCAGGTTGCAATCTTAGGGTGACAGCACCTGCCCCACTTCTCCTTGTGTTCCCTGCCTCCATTCCTCCCTGCCTCTTCGTGGCTTCTGGCCTCTGTTTTGGGGGCAGATAGGGCCCTTTTTGGCTTTGTGTGGTTAGTTCTGAGAAACCTCACTGTTCACATCCCAGGCCTGTCTGTTGTTTGGCCAAGAGGTGACCCTTGGGGGTGGGTTCAGGTCCAGACTTGAGGGGCATCCGAGGGCCACGGTCCCAGGCCTCCAGCCTCCAGCAGACCAGGAAGTCTGAGCTTTGTTATGACCTTGAATTTTGCCCCAGGTTTTCCTGGCCCTCGGCCCAGGCCCTTCGCTGGCCCCGTCAGGGAAGCTGGCAGTGGTGGGTGGGCACCATCTCCTCCTAGTCTTGGACTGGTGGAGGCTGAGGTGGGCCATCAGTCCTTTCGATGAACGTTCTCTGAGTCTTGACTTTGCTCTTCTTTACTCCCGACGTGGAGAGAGCAGTAACTGTCCTAGACGGTCTCTTGTGAACTCTCACGACGCCCGCTGCCCCTCCCCACGGGAGGACATAGAACATTGAAACCACGGATTGTCATGGCCAAGGCCGTGGCCGGATGTCTGGGCCAGCCGTGTGTGTCTCTGGAAGGGGTGCGTGCCGTGTTCCCCACGTGTGGCCCGTCCTTCCTCTCGATGAAGAGGTGAAGCCTTTCCTGCGGGGCTAGAATCTGGGTCCGGGCGCCTGGTGTGTCTGTCCCTGTAACGCTGTGTCCTCAGTTCACAGAGGAGCTGGTGGCCGCTGTGGTGCACGTGCTGGACCACAGACAGGAGCTGAGAGCCTGGCCGAGGAAGGATGCGGCGGGCACCCCCTCCAGAGTGCAGGTGATGGCTGCACAGCTGCTGTCCGAGATGAAGCTACCAGGCAAGTCCATCGGTCCCACGTCTGTCAGTCCTGGGCCCGAGTCACAGAGCAAGTCAGTTGTCCTGGGCCACGCTTTCTCAGTTACGGCCATGCTGTCATACGCTGAGCGGACTGCAGGGCTGTCAGGAAGGGTCACGGTTGTCCATGGGCCCCTGCAATGCCATTTAGAGAAGGAGTGAAGGATAAGAGTGGTGAAGCCGAGGTCAACACTGTCCGGCGGAAACTTAGATGAGCAAGGATGAAGGCCGCTGTTGATTTTCAGGCCGGAAATGAGAGTAGTAGCTGTTAGGTGTTGTGGAGTTGGTTGTGATTCCCAGCCTCTGTCAGTCCATCTGGCCGATGGTCGTCTTCCCTTCCACTGACCCCCTCTTCCACCCTGATGCCTGTCTCCAGGGACTGGTCCCTCCTGAGAACACGGCCAGAGGATGTGAGACTAGGTCTCATCATCACAAACCACCACGTGAAGTTCTCTGATAATCTTGGGGTGAACCCAGCATATCCAAACCCGGGAGCCCTGGTGGCGCGGGTGTAGGAGCTGGCAGGGTTGCTGGCCGGAAGGGTGGCGCTTTGAATCCAGCAGCTCTCAGAGGAGAAAGATGATGGCTGGCTGCCTCCCCCACGGCTCGGTCACTGCCGTGGTCAGATCTAACAGCGGCCCTGCCCCGGGGTCCAGGGCTGTGGAAAGACATAGTCCATCCTTCTCCCAAGAAGTGCCCATGGGAGTTGAACCCGCGGCCTTTAGGTTAGCAGCCACGTTAGTTATGTGCTGCGCCACCAGGGCTCCTTGCTGTAAAGATTTACAGCCTCATAAACCCAGTGGGGAGCTCTGGTGGCCTAGGCGGTAAGGTGGTGCACTGCCAGCCAGGCTGGTGGTTCAGAGCCACCAGCTACTCCTTGGGAGGAAGATGCAAAGTCTCTTCCCCTGTGATTTACAGCCTCTGGGGGCCTGCTGGAGGGTCAGCTGAGTGGCATCTGACTCAGTGGCAGTGAATGTGATTTACAGCCTCTGGGGGCCTGCTGGAGGGTCAGCTGAGTGGCATCTGACTCGGCAGAGAATGTAATGTGAGTTTGAAGTTGAACCCAGTCGAGGTCACTGTGAACCAGAACCGACTTGATGGCAAGTAGGTTCAGATTTGGTTTTATTAAAAAAGTCATTTCCTCATGAATTAACACAAATATTGTTGGGCTTTTTTAAAAAAAAAATTGTTTGTAGTTGGGGTATGCTGCATTATTTTAAATTAAGTCTTTGAAATCAGTTGCCAATTTTATACATACAACTCAGTAGCTGTGTTGACTTATGGCCTCCGTGTGGGCTGATGGCCTCTGTGAGGTTTATGGCCACCGTGCAGGTTGAGGGCCTCGGTGCGGCTTGAGGGCCACCGTGCGGGTTGAAGGCCACCGTGCGGGCTGAGGGCCACGGTGCGGACTGAGGGCCACCGTGCGGACTGAGGGCCACGGTGCGGACTGAGGGCCTCGGTGCGGGCCTCGGGCCTCGGTGTGGGCTGAGGGCCTCCATCCTGGCTTACGGCCTTCTTGTTGGTGGCCTGGTTTATGTGCCTGTAAGGAAATCCGGTAGCCCTGCTCACACTGTCCCGCCCACCGCTTCCTCCCAGATGGCAAGAAGCTGCTGGAGCCGGAGCAGCTGGACTGTGCCTGTGACCAGGCTGTGATCGAGGACTGGGTGTTCCGGGCCCACCACGTGGCCACCTTTCTGGGTGTGCTCGTCCACCACGGCCTCTGCCTCTTGCGTTCGTCCCTGAGTCTGGCCAGCCTGATCCCGGAGCGCCACTCTGACCAAGGCCGGGAGTTTGTGAGCATCCTGGACGTGTTGGCGGTCATCTACCTCAACTCCCACCTGCCCAGGGAGCAGCGGGCCAGGTGGCGTCTGCTCTTCTCCTCTGACCTTCACGGCAACAGTTTCTCCCAGCTCTGCGGCCGCATTACCCACCGCGGGCCCTGTGTGGTCATCCTCGAAGACCTTGACGGCCACGTGTTTGGTGGCTTTGCGTCCTGCTCCTGGGAGGTCAAGCCCCAGTTTCAAGGTAAGAGTGGGCACCTTGAGCCCCAAGGGTTCCTGGAGGGAGGGCACTGATGTGGAGGAGCATTGCTCGGTCATAGGGCACAGATGGAGGACAACATGGCGTGGTCCACATAGAGGGAGCACCACTCAGTCATAGAGCACAGGAGGAGGACCAGCACAGCGTGATCCATCCCCAGGGAGCACCACTCAGTCATAGGGCACAGATGGAGGACAACATGGCGTGGTCCACATAGAGGGAGCATCACTCAGTCATAGGGCACAGATGGAGGACAGCATGGTGTGGTCCATCCATGGGGAGCACCACTCAGGGCACAGGTGGAGGACAACATGGCGTGGTCCACATAGAGGGAGCACCACTCAGTCATAGAGCACAGACGGAGGACCAGCACGACGTGGTCCATATACAGGGAGCACCACTCAGTCATAGGGCACAGATGGAGGACAGCATGGTGTGGTCCATCCATGGGGAGCACCACTCAGGGCACAGGTGGAGGACCAGCATGGCGTGGTGCATCCCCAGGGAGCACTCCTCAGCCGTAAGGCCCAGACAGTGGACTAACAGGACGTGGAGAGCCGCACTGCCTCCCTGTGGCTCAGCTCAGCTGCCTCAGCGCATCGGCACCACTTCTCGTCTCAGCTAGGACCTGGCCTGGCTGATGACCTTCTTTCTGGTCACTTTCAGGGGACAACACATGCTTCCTCTTCTCTATATCCCCCCGCATGGCCGTCTACACGTGCACTGGCTATAATGACCACTTCATGTACCTGAACCACGGACAGCAGACCATCCCAAATGGACTGGTAAGGCGGGAATGTGGTCACTGTTGGGGTGCACTCGATCCTGTGTGTGCCCTGATGACACGGCAGTGGGGCGACAACTCCCCGGAATGGGACACAGGCTGCTGGCCATCAGCCAGAGGCAGCCCGGGCAGCTCCCTCCTCTGCAGGCCCCCGTCTCTGTCAGGCCTCCTCGTGGTCGGGGCTCATGGGGCAGTGACCACTCTCCTGGCGTGACCAGTTGTAGAGGGCTGAGGCTGTGGGTGCTGACTCGTCTCTGGTCTCCTGTCCTGACAGCTGCCTGTAGGCTGGGCTGGGGTGAGGGGGAACCTGGCTGGGGGTCACCCTCTGACATGCTTCCCTGGACCAACTGAATGTCCTCTGTGACTTGTAATGCAGGACGTGGCTTTGACCATTCCTTTCATGGCCCATTGGCCACGGGGAGAGGAGGGGGGAGAGGGGTCCCTCTGTGCAGTATGGGTCAGCAGGGGGTGACTGGGGAGGGCCCGGCATACTCAGGGCCTGCACCCCAGCCTTGCCGGTAGGGGAGGGTCTCCCGTGCCCACGCCAGCCTCTCTGGCGGGGGAATCCCCCACGCTCATCCTGGCCCTGCCGGGAGGGGAGTCCCCCATGCCTATTGCAGCCCCTCGCTAGGAGGGAAGGGTCTCCTGTGCCCACCCTGGCCTTCCTGGTAGGGGGTTCCCCCGCACCCACCCTGACCCTGCCAGGAAGGGGGTCCCCCGTGCCTACCCAAGCCTCACCGGGAGAGGAGGGTCTCCCATGCCCACCCCAGCCTCGCTGGTGGGGGGGATTCCCCGAGCCCACCCCAGCTCTCCCCGGCCTCACCAGGAAGGGGGCTCTCTTGCACCCCAGCTTGTTTCTTTTCTTGACTCCTTACCTGGAAGCTTTTTCTGAGGAGTCTCGAGTGTGGGGACAGCCCTCCAGCACAGCCAAGCAGAGAATGCAGGCCACTCTGAGGTCAGGAGAGAGGGGCCCCTCCGCGTTCCCCACGGGAGGTGGGGAGGAATAGGTCCGGCGTGGGCTGACCCCAGTGAACACTCCCAGAGGGCAGTGCAGCAGCCTGGAGGACAGCGTCCCCTTTGCCAACTGGACTCTCCTTTGTCCACAACCAGAAGGGCTGGTGCCGAGCTGCCTAAGGGCTCCCCAGGGCCAGGAGGAGGCTGATGGAGGGGAGTGGACAGTCGGAGTGGGGAGGTCCGGCCGACCTGGTCTCCCTGTCAGCAGTGGGCAGGCTGCAAAGGGTGGCAGCGTGGACAGGACAGGGTGCCAGATGCCCTCCTCAGATGCTACCCCTCCTGCTGTCCCTCTGCTAGCTGATGACACCGAGGGCTTAAGTCACTGTCGTGCTCTGAGCCCAGCCCCTCATGTGTGTAGGAGGCGGGGCCCTGCCTGGCCGGGTGACTGAGAGGTTCGCACCCAGACACCGAGGTCTTCCAATGTCAGGTCCTGGGGTCTGCACCCCTGCTCATGGCTGGAGTACTGGACCCTGCTGACCTGGGCTTTTTTCACCTCTTGCTGGTCTGGTGGTTCAGTGGGTTAAGCATAGGGCTACTACTAACCCCAAGGTTGGTGGTTTGAAGCACCAGCCAGTCTGTGGGAGAAACATGGTGGTCACCCGCTCCATGAAGATTAACAGAAGAGCTCAATTCTGCTGCCAGAACAAAAGCAGGAAGGGAACGGGGTGGAGAAGAGCTGTATTATATTCTAACATGCCACCAAGTTGAGTATGAGTCACAGTGGCCCTGTGAACACAGCTCTGAACTCTGTCCTGTGCCAACCTCACACTTCCTGACACACCTGCGCCCACAGCTGCGGTCACAGGGTCAGTCCATGTCATTGAGGGTTTCCCCTTCCGAGCTGACCTCCACCTTTGCAAGCATGATCTCCTCCAAGGAGTCGGCTCTCCCCGCAGCATCCCCGAACTGTGTGAGGTCACACTTTCCTATCCTTGCTTCCAGGAGAACTTGGGCTGCAGTTTTCAAGGTATCTGTGTTCTCTGGGCGTCCGCGGGGCACTCATTCTCCCACCACAGCTCAAAGCCATCCATTTTCCTACTGTATTTGCCCTTCAGCTCTCAGATGCATATAAGGATTGAAAAGTCTGCAGCAGTTATAGCCCGGGAGGGCCTGTGGGCAGCTCCACGCTGTCCTGAAGGTCTCCACACTCACTGTGTGAAGATGGGGGGAGGAAGTTGCTGTCATTTGCTCTTCAGCCTTGTGGCCTCATGAAGCGCAGGGGCCGGGTGGTGTCAGGAGGTTCTGGCAGGTTCACGCCCTGGGGCGCTCTGGCTGTCCGTTCGCAGCACATGACTCTGGTTGGCTCGGACGCCCGGTGGGTTTGAGCTTGGTGACCGCAGGGTGAGGGAGGGTAACACGCTGTCTGCCCCCCGACAGGGCATGGGCGGCCAGCATGGCTACTTTGGGCTGTGGATCGACATGGACTTCGGGAAGGGCCACAGCAAAGCCAAGCCCGCCTGCACCACCTACAACAGCCCGCAGCTGTCGGCCCAGGAAGACTTCCGCTTCCACAGGATGGAGGTGTGGGCTGTCGGGGACTTTGTGCCCCAGCAGGTGAGTGAGCCCTGGGGAACAGCTCCCCAGCCCCCCACCTCTATCAGAGGTCCATGTCATGGGCATCGGGCAGGTGCAGCCCCTAGACTGTGTGCATGGGTATCCAGGAGGCCGGAGTGGCCCTGCTCCCCACTGACGTATACCCCACTGTGCCCTGGAAGTGAGTGGGATCTGGAGGGAGATGGGCCTGGGGAGGACCAGAGTTCACCACCGGTGGGCAGCAGCCAGGCAGTGTCCCTATCTTAAGATGTGCACCTGCTAGTGCTTCTCTGCACCCCACTGAACCTTCTCCCCATTGCCTCCATTCAAGGCCAACACCAAGAGCATCCTGGACTCAGACCCCGAGGCCAAGGCCCTGCTGGAGATCACTGGGCGCAGCCGGCACAGCGAGGGGCTGCGGGAGGTGCCTGACGCGTGAGGTGGTGCGAGGCAGGACCCAGGCCTCCTGGACCCCCTCAGCCTCCTGGACCCCCTCAGCTCCGACCCCAGACCTCGAGCGGCATGGGACCTTAACTGTAACTTAGCCAAGGCTTTGCCCATGTGCCTGACAGAGGCCTGGGCCCACAGCCTCTTCTCCAAACCACCCCCCAGCCCTGCCCTGCTCTGCGCTGGCCGCTGACCCCTGACTCGGACACACCCGCCCTAGCCGGCGGCCCCGTTTTTAAAGAGCTGGCTGTGTCTTCATGCAGGACAGCAGGTGACCGCGACCACCCATCTCCTCGGGGTCCACGGTGACCCCCGCCTCCCAGCTGCATTTCCGTGAGTCTGTGCCAGAGTGGGCAGGGAGGTGGGAGCGGTGCCACCGTGAACTGACCAGAGCCGGACCCCAGGCCCTCTCCTGGCGGTGTCGCCCTGGATGCTGTGTGTGTAACGTGAACGTATGAACACGCCTGTGTAAACTCGCCCAGACCGGCCGCCGTCCCTGACCCCAGCTGAGCTGCCCGCAGAGTAGGGCAGAGTTATCACGGCTCTGACCCTCCAGAAGTGGATTGCCAGGTCTTTCTTCTGAGGCACTCAGAGAGTTCAAACCACCCACCTTTCGCTTGGTAGTTGAGTGCTTAACTGTGTTCACCCGAGGACATGGCCATCTCCTCAGTCCCCCCCCCCATGGCCATCAGGGAGCCATGGTGGTGCACTGGGTTAAGCCTGGTGGCTTGAATCCACTCCCCGGAGGAGGATGCACCCGTCGGCTCCCGTAATGGTGGCCTCTGGGGCGCTGTGGGTGGGCATGACTGGTGGGCAGTGCTGGGGTTAGTGGGGTAATGAGAGCTCAGCCTGGCTCCCAGACACCCTCCCCCAACGCTGCCTCCTGCTGCTACGCTGAGCAGTGAGCCTCTCGGAGTGGACTGGCTACATGGGGTCCCATGTGCACAGAATCATCTGTGGAAGCCTCAGGTGGGGTCCTCAGGTGGACCTCCGGTGCCCTATGGCCTGTGATCCTGGACTTCGGCTTCTGTCTGCACCATGGCTCAGGGAGCTGCCAGGGTCTGCCCACTCGGCATCCAACCCTCTGCCCAGATCGCGGCCTTCAGTACCCAGGTCACCTGGATTCCAAGCCATAGTCGGAAGGGCCGGGCCGTCCTGAGGGGCTGCACCTCCCCCAGGGGCTCACTGCTGCCCCCATGGCTGTATGCCCCAAGCCCTCCCCAGTCTGCCTTGTGCAAACCGGGTTCAGCCCATCTCCCAGGTACAGCCTGTGACCTTACACTACAGG